AGGAAGCTTATTATTTATCAAGCATATTTACTGAATACTTATTAAAATACATGTTAAATAATTACTATAAGCGTATTTGCTAAACATTTATAAGTTAAACAACATGAAAGAAAATAAATGCTAAAACATTGAAATAACTGATTTTCTTCCTAGTCTCCTTTTATTTTATAACTGCTGTGATAAAAAAATCAGTATTAATAAGAAAAAATACAGACACAATCCATCACATGGGTGGACATTTCATGTTTCCTGCACTGACTGTCTCATCTGAACTGTGAGACGTTGCTTGCTTTTTGTCTCCAGACGCTAAAACCAGACAAATTAATTTATCAATACTGCTTCAATCTGTCCAGTTTTATTAGACATTACATTTTAGCAGCACGGTATCAAAGTATAGACTTTTCAGCACAGCAAACATCAGCAGGTGAATATATCAATAGAAATATAGAAATTAATAAATATAAGATAGCAGATAGAGATTAGTTTTACAAATGTATTTCTATCATATAAAGCTGTGTACTACCTATGGTGGATTGAAACTCTCACATAAATGGAATTTATAAACAGTAGCATTTTGCATAAAGAATGCTAGCATCCAATCTAATTTCTTTTTCAAACAGCAAAGAGTTGTCATCAAATATTTGGGTATACAAGTACCCACCTCTCAATCTACTATTGCAGACTTGGACTATAAATCTCTCCTACATATAGTCCATACTTGCCTACAATCTTACATTAAACCACACTTATCCTGGTTTGGGAGCATACCGTAAATATTGCTAAAATGGATATATTACCCAAACTGTATTCTGTACAACCTGTACATGCACCCCCAGGCTTTATACTATGGTAACTTAGCGCAAAAAATAAGGATTAAAATTACCATTTTATTGCTAGCCAAATGTACAGGAGGTGTGACACTACTTAATTTGTCCCTATATCTCTATGCAGCCTCTTTGATTAGTATTCTGGACTGGTTCACAGTAAATTACCAAATTATGGACCATCTTAGAAGACAATCTTATTATCCCTGATCTCACTTCTGTACCATGGATTCCTCCTGAACAAATACCTTCCATTGACTTCATATCTCTCCTGGTGCTGACCACCCTACACATATGGGACACATACTTGTACAAGGGATTGCTATCTACTAGGCCTAGCCCTTTGACCCCGTTATTTGGTGACAATGTATTTCCTCCGACCCTACATCACTCTCATTTTTTATCTTGGACGAAAAACAAAGGCATGTTCCACTACCATACATTGACACATGATATTCTACCTCCTCTATCTAGGTTTATGCCTTATTGCCATGACCCCTCTACAGCCTGGAATGAATATTCCCCATTACAGCATTATCTCCAAACAGTGGCCTCACTGGATTCTTAGACCTACTACAGACTTTGAAACCCTACTTTTACAAACTGACAGACCTGCACACTTCTTGATCTTAGTATACCAACTTCTACTTGAAAGAATCCTATCCATAAAACCCACAGTTCTTCTCAAAATGGAAGAGGAACTTAATATTTCAGATGAAAAGGAGTATAAGGATAAAATACTGAAATTTACATGCATACAAGACCTCCATATCGACTAGGGCACAAGAGGATAATTATTAAATTCTAACCAGGTGGTATCACTGTCCTATGGCTAATATATGGGGGACAAATCCCCTGGTTATTCCTTTCTGGGACAAAATCTTACAGCTTTTTATAAACATTTTGGTGATAAGATCCCTAAAATTCTTCCTGGCTCCTACAAACAAAGCAAAAAGAGCTTACTTCGATACTTTGTAACCTCAGCAGGTACCACTTTATCTAGAAATTCATTGCTGGACTGGGCTTGCAAAATGGACTCCTTGGGGTTTATTTACTAAAGCTGGAGAGTCCAAAATCAGACTCCCTTCTGCATAGAAACCAATCAGCTTCTAACCTCAGCTTGTTCAATGAAGCTTTGGCAATGAAACCTGGAAGCTGATTGGTTTCTATGCAGAAGTGAGTCTGATTTTGCACTCTCCAGCTTTAGTAAATAAACCCCCTTGTGTCACTTGGAGCAGATGGTCTCCTGGGAAAATTACAAATCAGAGACCTACAAGATCACGTGGTCCATGTGGACTAATTTCAGATACTCTTCAGACTTTGCTTCATATTTTTGGAAAAGAACAAATTTTTAATGTATTAACTGGTCATTTTATCTCTCTAACGATATAGGAGAATTGATTGGTGGTGCAGGGTTCCGTCTTGTTCCCTCAAATGTCCTTCTTTTTTTTTCTTCTCTTTTTATTTTTAAGTAGCCCGATCAATATTGACTTTGACTTTCATCTTTCCACCACACATGCAGTGTTTGTCTTATTGATAAATGTTAAATCGGTGCACCTAACAAACTGTTATTATTATTTCTTATTTATTATTCACATTAACGTTGCTGTCCTGAACTCCCCCTATCAGAGACTGCATGTATCTTGTCTATATTGTCTTGTTTCGTTTCTGGCAATTGATTTCGCACATATTGTTACTGTACATTGGATATAGCCTAGTTTGCACTGTTGTGGTTAAAAGTTTGCATACCCTGGCAGAAATCGTGAAATTTTGGAATTGATTTTGAGAATATGACTGATCATGCCAAAAACTGTATTTTTATTTAAGGATATTGATCATATGAAGCCATTTGTTATCATAATGATAACAGAAACCACCCAAATGGCCCTGATCAAAAGTTTACATACCCTGGAATGTTTGGCCTTGGTACAGACACACAAGGTGACACACACACAGATTAAAATGGCAATTAAAGGTTATACATATGTGGCTTTTTAAATTGCAATTAAGTTCTGCGTATAAAAAGTCAAGTAGTTTGTTAGTTATTACATGGATGCACTGAGCGGGCTAGATACTGAGTCATGGGGAGCAGAAAAGAACTGTCAAAAGATCTGTATAACAAGGTAATGGAACTTTATAAATATGGAAAAAGATATACAAGACCTTGACTATGCCAGTCAGTACTGTTCAAACACTTATGAAGAAGTGGAGTATTTGGGGATCTCTTGGTCAAGTAGACCAAAAAAGATTGCAGCCACAATTGCCAGAAGAATTGTTTGGTATACAAAGAAAAATCCACATGAGCCACAGGAGAAATACAGGCTGATCTGGAAAAAGAAGCTGTGGTTGTTTTAAGGTGCACAATACAACAAAAGTTAGCTGCATGTCCGAGCTGCCAGAAAGAAGCCTTTACTGCACCATTGCCACAAAAAAGCACGGTTACAATGAGTCCAACAACACCTTGACATGCCTCGCAGATTTGGCACACTGTAATCAAGAGTAACGAGCCCAAAATGGAGCTTTATGGTTGCAACCATGTTTGAAGAGGGGTCAACAAGGCCTATAGTGACAAGAATACCATCCCAACTGTAAAGCATGTTGGTAGCTCACTGATATTTTGGTTGAGTGTGTGAGCACTAAAGACACGGGGAATATTGTAAAAATGGATGGCAAGATTAATGCAGCATGTTATTTAAAAAAAAGTTACTGGAAAGTTGCATTTTTCTGCATGAAAACTGCACATAAACTGCTGTTGGACTTTCCAGCATGACAATGACCATAAGCACTAGGCCAAGTTGACCCTTCAGTGATTCCAGCAAAAAAAAAATGTGAAGGTTCTGGAGTGGCCATCACAGTCTCCTGACCTTAATATCATCGAGCTACTTTGGGGAATTCTCAAACATGCGGTTCGTGTAAAACAACACTAGACTTTGCATGACCTGGAGGAATTTTGCCAAGATGAATGGGTAGCTATACCACCTACAAGAATTCAGATCCTCATAGACAACTATTAGACTGCACGCTGTCATTGATGCTAAAGGGGGAAAATAGATAAATACATGAGGATGTCCTCTTTATTTCTTCTTTGTTAATATCTTGCCTTGGACATATAGTGGCTATGAAATAGCCACGTGTTTGCCTAACCTAACCTGATTGGAAGGAATACATTTGTTTCAAATCAAGTTAATTTCCCTTTATTCTCTATCCAACATTTATGGTGCAGACCTAGCCCTTAGTCTGGAGCTTAGACAGTGCTGGCTATAGCAGCAGTGGCATGGAATGGTCACAACAATACTAGCAGACCACATGCTTAAACTAACCATTTCTGCGATTTCTCTTAAGCTCTAAATTAAAACAAATGGAACATTTTGTTTTTTGATCTCTAGATCGAAACACAGTGTTTGAATTTATGAAAAATAATATAAAGCAATGTTCATATGTGTTAATTGAACAAGCTGTAGTTAGAAGTTGGTTGGCTACCATGCACAGCTGCACCAGATTCTGAGTGCACTAGTTTTAGTAAATCTCCGCCTTAGTCATTACTTAAGAAATAAGTCTCTATGCTTAAATAACTAATGAATTCTGCCTACAGCCTTAGCACCTGCAACCCACAGCCAGTCCTAGCTGCACCCATGGCAATGCCTCCTCTGCACCCGCAACCAGATCCTCACTGTACCTACAGCCAAGCCTCTGATGCAGTCACAGCCATACTGCCACTGCACTTTCGCCTTTGCCACTTCTCAATGGGAATGCAATGTAGATGCATGGTTAACACAAATGTAACAGTTACTTTCCTCCCATGTTTTAGTGCCAGTGGTTCCTCAATGTCGAACGGCTGGGGGCACTTCTGGGATTTATCCAGAGCTTTGAAATTGTGACATGTTGACAAGCTGAATCTCAAAATACACATTCTGTAACTGCTCAAGTTCGGAATATCTGTGATTCTAAGCAATCAAAGTCTACCTCCAACCTTGGCACATGCAATGCATCTGCAGCAATGTCCTCTGTCTTTGCTGCACCTGCAGCCCTGCCACGGCTGCATCCACAGCCAAGTCCCACAGCCATGACTCCACTGCAACAACAAGCCTACACTCAAGTCTCTGCTCCACCCAGAGCCTAGCCTCCATTGTACCTGTCACCAAGTTTTCACTGCAGCCACTAAGAAACCTCCTCTGTACACACAGCCAGGGGTGGACTGACCACTTGGAAACTTGGGCACTGCCCGAGGGCTCAGGGTCAGTAGGGGGCCCCATGAGATGCCCCGGTACCTTTTTCATAGATTTTTTTTGAGTTTGGGCAAGGACACAGGGGCCCCATGATCCCCTATTGCCCGGGGCATGAGTTGTCAGTCCGCCCCTGCACACTGCAATGCATCTGTTACAACCAGAGCAAAGCCTTTGCTACACCCATAGTAAGTCTCTACTAAGCCCATGGCCAAACCTCTGCTGTGCTCTCAGCCTTAGCATTTGCTCCACCTGTCTCTGTAGTCTATGTAGCAGCCTTCAGCCTGTGATGCACCACCTCTGCAACCCAGCCTCAGGCCTCTACTGCTCCTCCTCTACACCCACAGCCTCTAGCCTCTGTTGCTTTGCATCTGCACCTGCAGCTTCAAGCTTCTGCTGCACCTCCTCTTTTTACAGCCACCTACTTTCGGATACCTTTCCCATGCTCCATGTCCCTGTTACCTGGTACCTACCCTCCTCCATGTCTGTAAGTATTGGTTGAGTGACCTAGGGGTAGCCAGCAGCCAAGTCTATACTTCCGTGAGGAGGTCCCTGGCAGAACACCAACTACCTCTTAGGTTTCACTCTCAGAAGAAGCAGCCAGACAGAGGAGCACATTTCCACTAGGACAGAAAGTTAATCATATCTCAAAAAGGTGTCAAATGTATCTGAAATGCAAGCCTTTTTCCTGGAAGCACCTAAAAACATACTAACCTTTTTTAGCATAACACAAAAGGAATTATATTTTTGTTCTCATGGTGTAAGAGTACTTCCGTGAAACATTCTTAAAATTATGTTGTGTTTACAAATACTATTTAATTCTAATAATTAAGCTTAATCAACTAAATAAACTAGCCCTCCATGTATTTATCACAATTAAATAGGTAGATCTTTTCTTAGATTCCTCCAGTTACTTAATGCCATACAGTTTTAGACCTGGGCATGAAGACAGCCATCAACATTGCATATTATCAGTTCCATCCTACATGATATGGAATTATCAGGACACAGATCTGAACCAAAGACATGCATATGCTGCATCTGCTGAACCACCTAAGATGCTTGACAGCTCCCCGTCTGATCTCTTGGACAACCTTACTTTCTGTTTTGTTTCTTGAAAACCCTAAACTCCTTGCTCCTGTCGCAAACATCCTGTTTAAGCCATGCCTTTGCTGTTCCTGTTTTCCAGATTATTGTGCTGTTCTCTAGCCAATATCTTGTCCCTTTGCTCCTGTTACCATCTGTATCTTCGTTACCACTTATTACCGACCTTTGGCTTGTTTCTCAACTATGCTTCCATTGATCCTAACCTGCAACCACTTGTTAATGACGTTTGACTTGTTTACAGATTACACTTCCATTTTATCCCTACCTGCTATATCTGCTACCACATCCTGGCTTGCTCATCTCCCAATGGGGTCATCTGGAGAAGCCTGTCTAGTGCTTAGACCACGTGCCTTTGATGAGCCCATGTCATTCACCAGGGGGACCTGCTTGTGTATTTATCCTGCTGGTTTCGGCACTACTGGCCTCCTCTGTGTTTTTTTGAGCTCCTGCGCGAGCTGGCTACATTCACAGAGTGGTCATCCCTAAATGTGAATCCTGAGTGTGAACCATGAGGCAGTGGAGGACACATGACCAGATCTGACCAGACCTATGTGAGGACACCCGATGTTTCTGTTATACTACATAAATGCGCATAAAGATTGCGTATCTGGTGAGTGCGCAATCTATATCCTATTTTCTCACCTCATCCACGATTTTAGTCATTGGACGTCTGAAGATCATCCGAGATCTCACTCACTTTGTCACTTTGGACTTATCTTTATTTGATATAGTGCATCTCTTTCACGATATTAGCCACATAATTTAGTGGCACATATACTTGCACAGTGTCACTTTATTGTATGTATTTATATATGAATTTATTTATTTATCATCCTTATGAATTTTTACTAGCGCTGCACCCCCCTCTTATTTCTTCCAATCGTGATGGCTGGCCTTTGTAATTGATGCTGGATCTACACTGAGGTACCCTCCCAATGTTGAAAAGCATGTGGTTTAGTATGGTTACAGAAGGTAGTACATGCTCGCTGCCCTTCTTTTCCTGGCAGGAAGCCTGGATATAGGTCTGGTTTGAATTCTAGGGGGAATTCCATTATTTTCCCCTCATTGTTAGATTCAGTACACATTTAGAAAAAGGGTGAAATGATGTGTGCTACCCCTAATGTGGTATTCCCCCTTAAATCTCTGATGTAATTCCATTGTTAATCATGTGGGTTTACATCCACCAAATCCAGTGTCAGTTGTTATGACCCACCAACTGATGATGTTTCCCGCTGTACTGCAATGACCTACCACCCGATGATTTTGTCCTGCCACACAACGTTTCCCCAACACATTACTGCCGCTAAATGACAGAATCTGGTGTCCTCATTGGCCAAATATATTTGCAGAATATTTCCAACATTTGCAACTGTGTTTCATATTTACTGAATATTTTTAAAAGAATAGCCACCTTGTGATTCTTGGGACAAGCTCTTTGGAATTATTACTTGTCTGAATTCTACTGAGTAAATGCATGAGCGTTGACTGATGTGAGAGATTTAGAACATTTTTAGCAGTCTATAGAGATAGTCTATAACATTTACAAATAAAAATAAATTACATGTTTTTTTCCCCAAGAGATGGTAGAAAGGACAGTATCCCATGAAATCACACCAAGAAAATAGCATAGACCAAAAAAGTTTATTACAATTACATTGAAAATTATATGGAAATACTGATTTGCAGGTAAGTGACTAATATGTGATAAAAGGTCATATGGATGCTTGTTTACAGTTTCATCCATTTAGTTAAATAGATTGACTAGAGATTGCCTCAATAGAATATTTGAAAAAAATGTTGACCTTTTCAGGGCAGTAATGAAAAATCAATTCTGATGTATGGGAGCTTCATGAGCAGCTACATTCACCCAAAAGTTATTACCAGACAACATGTTCAATAATATGTCAACTGACAAAATATTTGCTCAAAGGAAAAGCAAAAAGAGAAAGCAGATCCTCCGGTGACTAAAATACTGTATAATTTTGATTAAGTCAGCTATATTTTTTCAGCACATCAGATGTAAAACAATTCCTTCTATCATTAACACTTCATGACCTGAGGTAATTGAAACATAGATGTCCAGACAAAATTTTGAAGAGTGGTACAGTCAGTTGAGCTGTCTAATTTTTTTTAAATAAACCCATGTGATCATTATAACTGGCTGTCAATTCTGATCACATGATCGGAATAGTTCCTGATCCATTAGCATGAGACCAGCTCTTTCAAGGAAGCTGCAGTCTGGGGACTAGCTCCTAGTTTTTTTTAATAGAGCAAATATTAGCATTCTTTCAATATGGGGCATTGTGCTGAGAAACATTATTGTACAGCCTGCAGTCCTGAAGTGGTAAAGGCTTTTCCAAAATTTTTTTTATTAGTTTTAAATAAAGCGGAGAAAGGTTAGACCTTCTTTCGGGCTTCTATTGCTGTCTGAGACTCTAATGGAGGAATCTTAACTCCCTTTTTATCATTGCCACCCCAGTACATGAAATAAAGGGGTCACCGGAATAGAAAGGCATAAAAAGCAATAAAAATAACATATAACTTCCACATTTTCCCCAAAGCTACTAAAAAGTGTTTTTGTTATTGTCTCTGTTCCTACTGAAAACATTTAAACTCCTCTCTGCCCCCTGCCCCCTGTCACCAGGGTAGAAAGCAAGGGGAAATCGATAAGGAAAACCAAGAAACCTATGTTTATGATGTTTGGTTTATTCAGAAAATTTTTTACAACTTAACAGTTTCAGAAAATAAAATAAAAATAGATTTACATGGCCATGGAGACCCTGACAGGTCAATTATAATGCTAAGATCTAATGTCTTCATCAAAGGAAAATATTTTAAACCCCAATCTTAGACATTTGCCATGCATGATCGCCTAAAACATCCTACATTTTAACTAATTTTAACTCATTTTAAATCACACATCAACAATTACAATAAACATTACTTTCTGTTATTATGGAGCACTTTAGCAGCGACCCATGGCCTGAAATCCCTGCACAAGAACTGACAGGGACAATATAGCAACACATTTTCTGCAAAGTCATTGTAGCAAGTCATTTGTTTTATTTTAACATTAGCATATAAACATATAATGTCATATAACTATTAGCAAAATATATGCCCATTTTCTTGATTGCTAACTGAACCCCCATGGTAATAAAAACCTGACCAGATTTAACCCTTTCCCACTCAATCTAAAACAAACTAGAGAAAAAGACTGAAGTTGGGCAGATCTAATATATATTTCTAATGCTTGGCTGTAAAGTGGTAACTGGGGAATACAAAGCTCATATTAGCATAAAAAATATTGAATGCATTGCTTAATAATATTTGTTTTAGTTTTTTCTTATTTTTAAAAATTGAAAATGCTATTAAAACAAGTATATCTTATTTCTGCATTAGCCAGTGTAGGTGCTCTCTTAACTTTATAAGCCATGTGTTAAAGGATAAGTTACACTTTGTTTTTTTCAACAATACTTTATATTATAAAGTATAACTTTCTACAATTTTGAAAACTTGAATATACAGTTCAAAACGAGGAAAACAAAATGGAAACACATTTGCAAAGACCTTTCACTAATTTTTAGACATTCCAATAATAAATACAAATATACACATCACAACCTGCATTTGATTTATATATATATATATATATATATATATATATATATATATATATAAATAAACATGCTTTGTAGTGTTAATATCTAAAGAGAAAATATAGAATGTTCTTTAGGCTATTCTCTCATTGTGTTGCTTTTATTTTCCCCTAAATAAGTCAATTAGTTAGCAATGTAGAACCCTACAAATATAATTTGCTTGAAATATTTATGCCAACATATGCATATACATGGTACTGTAAGAACTAATTTAAACAGGAAAATGCTGTGACTTGATTCTATCCTTGGAGCAAGTTCCTTGAATACATAGTAATTAAAATCTTTCTGGCTGAGTAATATTTCCAGTGATTACAACCTTTCATGATTGATTAATGACCCTAATACTTATAAAAAAGATAATTTGGTCTAGCACATGCAGTGGCAT